GGTATCTTCCCAGTCCCATACACCCCTTCATATTTGACAGTGTGGGCAGATAGCACAAGGTATGGAATACCCTATAGATAGCACTTGTGATCTTTAACACATCTTTGCCTGTGTTTGCTGGTGTTTCAGCACCTCCTCAGCAACTGGAGCCTATAGGCATATCTGATAATGCTCAGTCTCTCAGGTTTGGGCTTAACTGTCGTAAATAGAGGATTGTGTAAGGCTTTGATGCTGTATGGGTGGATTGTGTGTGTGTATGTGTATCAGAGCGCTCGTGTGGTAAGAGAACAGTGCAGGTGCTTCCTGTTGTAGAAACGAGAAACATACTGCGGCAGGGTCACATAGAAAGAGTGTAAAAATGTGTGCGTGTATTGATTTTGTGTTGTGCAGACCACAGTACTCTTAACATTAGCCCAATATGGATCAAGGCCTACTGGTGTATAGTCTCTTTTGAACGCATATTACAGTTTAAACCTACCTATATCTTTGAAAGAATAGATAAACCAAACTGACAACTCTGTTAATGTTAATTCTATTACAAAAAGTGATACATAAAATAACTTAACAATTTTTGGTTGTCCGTTCTACTGTCTATAAGTGTTTTTTTACAAGCACATTAACTTGTACTACCAACCTTAACCCCAAATGTCAATTAGTAACACTTTATAGATACTCTAAGAAAAGTGAGGTGACATGTCAATGCAAACTTGCAGGGTTTATAGAAATAAAGTGTAGCCTGAAAATATTTTGTCAAATGATTTTTGCCTGCACAGGTAATGTCACTAAGGTTCAAAACTACACTGGACCTCACTGACTCACCATATAGACACAGCTAATTTTTTTTCCAAAAAATCTCATGTTTTACAAAATAAGTAAAGAATAAAATAGTATTTGGTCACACTTTATTTTGATGGTCTGTTTGTTGAACTGAAGTTACATTCCATCTACGCCAACTAATTCTCATTAGATTATAAGTAGACTGTTAGGTTGGGTTTGGGGTAAGGGTTAGTGTAAGCTGACATGTACTTGCAAAGTTTCTTACAGTCAGTTAAATGTCTGTTGAAGGAGCAGTATCAGCAGATTTTAAGCAGACAATCTACTAATACTGAAATGGACCATCAAAATGAAGTAGTATTATTTGAAAGAAAAGTAATATATTAACAAAAAGCCTTGTTATGTGTGTTAACTCTTGATATTGAAGTATTTTAACATGTGTATTTGCAGCTCTGACTTTCTTGTTAGTTTCAATTGCCTATGTATTTATAATATAGAATAAATAACAAATTTTGATTTGCTAGTTTTCACTTGCACGTTTGTTTATTTAAAAGCAGCTGATGCAATAATGTTTCAATAAAAGATTGATTGAATGGTGGAACTGCAGGTAATCTCCACGTTTCACAGCAACAGCTGACTAAACTATTTGGTTTATGTAGATTTCTAACATTAGTACAAAATATTTCAGTCAGCACATAACCTTGATTTACAAAACCTTTAAAAATTTGGACCGTATTTATACATTTTTCAATACAACTGAAATGATTTTCATGGAGCCATGAAGTATAACGCGGTTTCAGCGAGTTCAGAGAAAGACGTTCTCCTGCTGGGATGTGGTTTCTGGGTCTGAACTCAGTTCTCCAAAAACATCACTTCATCTCCATAAACCACATAACATGTACTCCTTCTGTCTGTCTTTCTGCTGCTCTTTCTTCTGTTCTCTACCAAATCTTCCTTTCATGTAGTTGCGATTAGTAGAGCACTTCTTTGTTTTTACAGCTTGTGTTCATTAAAATCATATATATATATATATATATATATATATATATATATATATATATATATATAAATATAGTTAAAGTCAGAACCATGTTAAGATCAATATTATTAGCCCCTTAAAGCTAAATTTATACAGAACAAACTATCTTAACACAATAACTTGCCTAATAACCCTAACCTGCCTAGTTACCCTAATTAAGGCTTTAAATGTCACTTTAAGCTGTATAGACGTGTCTTGAAAAATATCTAGTCAAGTTTTATGTACTGTCATCATGGCAAAGATAAAATAAATCAGTTATTAGAGATGAGTTATTAAAACTATTGTCTAGAAATGTGTTGAAAAAAATCTTCTCTCCTTTAAACAGAAATTGTAATAATTGTAATAATAATTGCTAATAATTCTGATACACACACACACACACACACACACACAGTGCTCTGCATATATAAGTACACCCCATACAAATCTCTCTTTTAAAGTCATATTTTTAATAGGAGCTATACAATATTATATTTGTGCATGTACATTAGATTATTCAGTACTGAAGCCAAATCTGAAGCTTATCTAACAAAATAACTTATGATACCGGTCCAAAAACCAGTACACATAAATTTATGTTATAGAAGAATACTACAAATTTAAAAAAGAAGAAGATCAAGAGAACCAGATCAATTGAAAAATTTAGTTGAAATGTTGTAGGTTGTAATTTTTTGCAATATTTTGCTTGAATTTAATTGTATTATCTTTCAATTTCTAAATATGTTTGGTGACTAAAATAATAATTTAATAAATAAGTCTGTTTAATAGATCTGCTTTGTTTAAATGCACCAAAACACATTGCCTGTATTCACTGAGATATGGATAAAAATATTCATTTTAAAAATGAGGTGCACTCTATGCTGAGCCCAGTACTTGTTTTACACAAAACAATGTCCAAACCAACACTACTGTACGTGAGCTGTTCCAAAAGAAACTATTGACCCACACTAAACACAAAACTGCTGTGTGATTTGATACAATGAACCAGTCTGAACTAGCTGATATATGGGGAAGAGCGGGACACAACGCAACATTTTGTAACAATGGGGTTTTGATGTTTTGTATAAATTAGGTTCACACTTGTCTTGTACAAATATGTGGCTTTATTTTATTACAGTGTTTTTTCCCCTTATCATTAAACCCTGAAGAATGTAAGTAAAACGTTTCAACTTAAAATGGGGTTTACTTTTTCATATAAAAATCTTTTTTTTTGCTGGTTAAAAATATTCTAATTTTGATCCTTGACAATGAGCATTGCAACCAGCACCGTTCAAACAATGTGCAAACAGATCAAGAAACATATTCAGACATCCAGAAAAAAAATCACCACTAATTTCATAGAACAGCATAGTTTTAATAAGAGTGATGCATGCTGCAATTTGTATTTCCCACCAATACAATTGGATTTTAAAATTCTTATGTGTTTTCAGCTAGTTCGAGAATAGATTAAAAAACTGCTAAATCACTGACTGGAGATTAAAATAATATAGGATTTATCTCATGTTAAACAAACAGCAAAAACTAAGATACTTTTAGTTAACCTCAGCAAGAAATTTAGCAAATAAATGTTGAACCATATCTTTAAAAGAATTTAGAATTTTGGCGCATCTCAGTAACTAGTTAATGCTGTTACGAAGCATGGAAATGTTTAAGCCTTGAGCATTGCAACAAAGCATTATTGAGCGTTATTTTGTTCCCTCACCCATAATAATACATAATTAATATGCAATATCCTGCGTAATCTTCATAGTAAGTGTTTGTATTGTACAATTTAATATTGTTGCTACATTTAGTTGGCACACAATGTCTTTATAATTTTTCTTACTAGTGACTAATGCACACCTATCCTTCACAAGGACACTAACAACCAAACCTTGTGTGTTGTAACATGGCTAAAAATGTAAATATTTACTTTTACTTCTTGCGTTGTCCTCATGAGTGTTATGTACTGTATGCGACCCAACCAGAATTTATCTATTAATCTTAATCTCCACATCTGGTAAATGTATTTATTTTCCTGGTAAATGTATTTATTTTCGTTCTTTTTCGAAGCAAGTAGGAATCTGCTTGAATATAAATGGCACATTAACTATGTGTCTGAGGTACTAGATTTTCAAAAATGTATTGTTATTAGTGAGCTGCTTTATGTTTACAAATTGCAAATGCATCACTGTTCGCAGAAACTTTCAGGTTTAAAAAATAGCGTTAAAACTTTATTGGGCACAATGAAAAACTGTGATAGAATAATCTTTTTTAATAGATTAAATTATATATATATATATATATATATATATATATATATATATATATATATATATATATATATATGTGTGTGTGTGTGTGTGTGTGTGTGTGTGTATATATATATATATATATATAAATATAAAACTCATATTTTGGCAAAAATGTTTTTCTAGCAAATATTTTGTAACATTTCTTTTAGCTTTAGTGCAATGATAAACTAAACAATATAAATTATGAGTTTGTTTTTGAATTATACTTATTTTTATCTTTCTCTCGAGTCAGCAGAATGCCTAGTATTTTTCTTACAATTCTTTTGGCTTCAGAGCAATGAAAAACATGATGATTCTTTTTTCTATCAAATCAAAATCGTTTTTTAAGTATATTTTAGGAAGTTCTGTCACAAAGTAATCATTGTTAGGAGTGCAAGACATTAGACATTAAAAGCTGTCCTGCAATTCAAATTTTTGATAACATATGCTTTGTGTTCATGCAGTCAGATGATATACGTTAACTCCACATTTTCCTCGGGTCGCTGTGTATAACAGACTGCACAGCTACATTTGGAAACTCTTTTTTTTATTAAACATCTACTTATTTATATCACTACAAAAAGACAAATCAAATTTGAAGTTTTTAAAATGGAGAATTTCTGAAAAGAAACAAATCCTGAAAGCTTAAAAACAGTGTTAATAATAAAAAAAGTTTTTTTTAGCAAATCAGAAATACAAAAATGTATTTGTCATCTAAAATTAACAATACAGAATTTGGTCTCATTGATCTCATATGTGAACCTGTATTTAAAAGGTCTGAAGTGAGTTTAAAGGTCCATTTCAGTTAGAAAGAAAACAAAACTAAATCTTGTTTTTTAAATGTCAAAACATCAACATTTAAATAAAAAAATAAGACTAGAAGTGCTACAATCTACAAATGTAACCACATCTGAGCAGTTCAAGACCAACAACAAAATTAAAAATAATAATACAAATAAAAAAAAAACAGAATAATTTTATATTCATAAAACTTCAAAGAAACACCATTTCACTGAATAAATATAGGTTCAGTATGTATACTGTGTCTAGAAATCTAAACAGAAGACTCAAAATCAGAATCTTTTGAGTCAACAGCATTAAGACATCAGTGTTAAGAAGTCTTTGTTGTAGCTTCAGTTACTTGACTTTGTGTGTGAGAAACGATTTTATCTTAGTGATCCTTTCTTTAAAAGCATTCATGAGATTTTACAGGGGTTAAGGTTTAGCAGTCTTCGTCTTGTCTGTCTTCGTGCCCGATTTACAGCTGTTCGCACAGCACACTCAAAAACCTGTTGTACGCCACGATTGCTAAGGGCCGAACATTCCAGATATCCCTTGGCACGAATCTCCTGTGCCACCTGCTTGCCCTCTGGGGACGTGGTGCAGTTAGCACGATACGGGCCCATCTCACGATGGTCTGTCTGTGTGGCAACAACCAGTACTGGCACCTTCGGCAGATATTCCCTCACCTCAGCGATCCATTTGTGCCGCAAATTATTTAAAGAACTTGGATTTGCTACTGAATAGCACAGCAAGACCACATCGGCGTCTTGATAGGACATGGGCCGGATTTGGCGGAATGTATCATGTCCTGCTGTATCCCACAGTCCTAAACTGATCTGGATTCCATCCATGAAGACATCAACTCCAGTGTTCTCATAGACAGTAGGTCTGTAGCTATCTGGGAAAGTTTCAGAGGTGAACCGTACCAGAAGTGCCGTTTTACCCACTGCGCAGTCCCCAACCAGTACACATTTCACCGAGGTCTCTGTCAACCCGTTCATCCTTCTTTCTCCGCTCTTGTAGTTCTTGAAAGGTGCAGTCTGATAGTCCTAACAGAATCAGCAGTGTCCAACAGATGATGATGTCATCACTGAGATGTAAAATTTTACAAGTCTGTGTGGAGAAAACACAGCATTCTGGAGACGAAGCCTCACGCACTTAGTCTTGCGCCGTGGTGTTTTACTCCTCTGATCTATAATCCAATGAAGGTTGAGGGACTGAAGTCGTTGTGTGCCATATTCAAGATATTCAAGACATAGATATCCAAAAGTCAGAAGTCTGGCAGACAGTTGTGTCTAGTCTCTTTCCGTCTCCTGCATAATTCAAAGAATAAAGAATTCAAATTAGTATGCTAACGCTAAACACAAAAAAGGGTTGGCTGACTTTCCTTAGTCCCTGTTAGTCATTGGTCACTAAAGCAGAATGAACCACCAATTTCTCTGGCATATGTTTTATGCAGCGGATGTCCAGAACTAAGTGCATTCACGAACACTCTCTCATTCATACACAGTGGCCAATTTAGTTTTTCCTATTTCACCACATGTATTTGGACTGTGAGAGGATCCAGAAGGAAAATCACACAAACATTGGGACAACATACAAGCTTTCTGATCTAGCCAGGACTCTTGCTGTAGACATCTTGCTGTAAGGCGCTAACAAATGAGCTGGCCCACACGAAATCTGCGCACGCAGAATTCCACAGATTTTCCACAGATTTTTAGCCCACCGTTAATGCTGTTTATTTACTTGAGTAAATCTATATTTATTCAGTTTTTTAATTAATTACAGTAATATTATTGACTAATGTGAAAATGTTCATCAGATTTATTTATAATGCAGTTTGTAAAGATATATTTTCTGTCTTTTAGTAGATATATAATATATATTATATGAGAGACTTGCTTTGTTTACCAAATAAAGTGAATCTAATTGGATTTGCATTTTAAAAATTAAATAAAAAGTTATAAATATATTATTGTTTTATTTCACATATTAAGGTTTTAGTTATGATACTCCCAAAATAATTCTGCAGAAATCCACAGATTTTTACCAAAATTCTCCACAGAAATAGCAAAATACATCCGCTGATTCCGTCTGGCCCTACCAATGAGCCACCATGCCATCTACTTTTATACAATGCAATGATATTTTAAGTGATTTTTTTTTTTCACTTTATTTAGATGAAAAGCAGCAGGAAAAGACATCAGGTCAGTTGAAGCCTCAAAAGTCAGAGCAATATTATTATATATCTCTATATTAATCATATTTAATCTTAAAATGAACTCATATCTAATAATGTTTTTCTTCTTATTCTTCCTTTGTTTAGACAGAAGATCACACTGAGATACATCTTCTTCAAGTGAGACATGGTCAAGACGGCATCACATAAAAGTTGCTTACAAAGACTTTCAAAAGTTATCAAAATTTAGCAAACCATAAGCAAACCATGAAAAACAATATCAAATATTCTTTAAAACGTGATACAAAACATTAAATGATACATTTAAAAATATTTGAAGAGTTCAGATGCAAAAACCTATAAATGCCATCTAAAATTTGCATTTTTATCAGGCTCCTGCGTGAATGTTCAGTAATATCACTTTTTTGGCAAAGAATAAGTCCTTTTTCTGGCCTTTAAAGTGAAATATCTCAACATAAATAAAGGAGGCTGAAAAAAATGTTCATTTTTGATGGAAATGTCAGACAGCACTTGGAGGTTTTCGCATCTGAACTCTTCATTTAGAGTTGGCAACATAGCAAGATTAAGTATAGTTTGTAAAAGGGTATAGAAGTGAAAGCCAAGATTTTTTTTTTTTTAGCTAGATCAGACAATACCCTTAAAACTTTCAAATGAATACAAGAGCCAGAAAGGATACAATGATTATTTGTATAAGCAATAATAATTTCAAAATAAATAAAATTAATTTGATAGATTTACTCACCCTCTGATATTTCCAATCCTTTCTTTTGTTCTGTGAACACAAAATAAATTATTTCCAAAATTGTCATAAAATGTGAAGTTTGCTGTTGTTTGAACTATATTATACTTTATTTATTTGTACTCCACTGATGAAAGTTTGAGCAAATGTTAACAGACTTAAAAAACAAAAACAAACAAAAAAAGAATGGTCCGTCCCTTGAATAGTCTTTGAAATACCAAAAAAAAAGGATAAAATAAAATAAAAAACATCAGGCAATAGTCCTAATTTTTCTTAGATGTAAATTAAAATAAAAAAACATGCTAAGAGGACAGCAGGCCCGTTTCATCACAGGGCCCAGGACAACTTTAACTTGGTACAATTGCCATAACTCCCCTGCTGTTGTAGTAAAATTTAAGAACTGTCGCTTTGTTTTCCGAAAAAATCAGACCAACACACCTGCTACAGCTTATTAATTTATTTTATATTACAAAATGGGTTAAATCCGAATATGACATTTCTGACATGTTAAAAAAACAACGACAAAGATTATTCTCCAAAAGAAGGTAATGAATTGCACTTCCTAGGCCTACATCGGCTGCCATGAGGGTTAAGTACTTTTAGTTAAATTGCAAATTCTGAGAATTATGTAAATCCTTTTAAAATTACTTTAATGGCTTGCACATCTCATCTTCGTAATCAGTTGCACATGTTGTTTCCACTTTGAGTTCCATTTTGTTTTGGGCAGAACAAAAATAGGTTTGACAAATTAACTGAGTCTAGAAGATGACACTATTAAAAAAACTAAACAAAAATACAATTTTTTGTTAACAAAATAAACTAGTAAATTAAAAATGAGACAGCTCTACAAAAAGGATCACGTTTTAACTGAAGCGCTTCATAGTCAAGTTTTCTATTATGATTTAATATATAATTCTAATTGAAGACAGCCCTTAACATTTCAATTTCAATTATTGATTAATGAACTTCCCTTTACAATTACATTTTTACTTTACACTAGAAATTTCGAATTCACAAACATTGTTTTAAAGCACAGCAGTTAATAGATGTATAACAGAATATATCAATGAAAAACAACTTACCCCTTTGAGCTCTTAAATTGAGAGTGTCACGGGTGCATTTCGTTTTGTTAATTATTTTTGTTTAGTTTTTTTTTTTTTTAAAGAATGACTTCAGTTTAGATACCAGTCCAATTCTGCATATTTTTCAAAACTACAATTGTTAAACAGGAAATTCAAGTCCTCGTAAGAACAGAAAGATCATATCCTCTTGTAGGGAAATGAAATGTGAGGCTGGGCTCTTTTCTCTGTAAAATCTTACATCAAATCTTTTCGATGCTTCCGCTGTGACTGTGTGACGTTCTCAGCTCATCTGTCGAGTCTTGCTTCTTCTGCAGTCAAGAACTCGTTTTGTGCATGACCTCAGTCTCATGCAGTAAGGAGAAAAACAGATATAACCAAAAACAAGACAAACCCTGATGAAACTTAAGGTTTTGTTCTAATGCTGGGGCTCAGTAATTTAGTTAAATTAATCTTGCTATATTAGAAGCCAAACATTACCATTTAATAAAGGTGACTCCCAGCTAGTATTAAATTAACAGTTACCAAAGCAGCTTGTCAGTAAGAACATTTAGTTTAAGTGCAATACAGTAATTACAGTACCATAGCCTCAGAGCACTTGTCTAGGTGAATAAGGAGCATGTTACTGAGACATGATAGTTGTAGTAACCCAAAACTAAAAATTCTGTCATCGTTTATTTACCCGTTTCTTGTTCCAAACATGTTTAATTTTCTTTCATCTGTTGAACATAAAATCAGCTAATAAAGAAAGCTGACCTTTAGTTTTCTAATTATTATTATTATTTAACTTTATGTTACTGGTTTTGGCTTTTACTTGAGTTCAGTTATGTTCAATGCAATAGAAAATGTAAAATCAATACAGCAAAGATTTTTACAATACAAAGTTTTTTCAATGGTTCTAGTGTAATAAATTCATTTTTTTAGCTGTGCAAATGTGCAATTTGGTGTTAATGGTCATTCATTGACATGTACATAATGTATGAAGAAATTCAATACTTTTTATTATGTTTATTATTATAAAAATTAGTAAAAGTTAGAGAAAACGGCTTTTTACTCAAAAAGATAAAAGGGAGATAAGTAGAAATATGTGTACTGCAAGTTTATCATCAAATGTTTTTAGTTTGGAGTGCTAAGAAAACTGTGTAAATATAATGCAGTAGCATTTTAGATTCAGAAGCCTCGTGTTAGATTGTAGACACCAAAGTCACTCATTAGCGGTTTGAGTGCACTACTTAGTCAACAACATCGCCCTCTGATGGACAGGAAGTGCAACTTTATTCAATTTAACAGCTGCCTCTTTCATCATGGAGAAATCTGACCTTTACCAATTCAAACAAACGTCAGCTACTGAGCATTCTACAAGCTAGAGTATTTTCCCCCACCAACGGTTTCTACTGATTAAAAAAAGAGAAAGACAATCGAGGATGTGAAAATGCTCAGCTGTGAGCTCCAGGCGGTTGCTAAGCTATGCCATTTCAAGCCCTAGACACATTCAAAATTATCCACTTTTAAATTTCACCAAATTTCACTTAAAGAAAACTTGTATATTTTATGATTTTATTCTTCCTTTCTCTTCAATTTCAAACAAAATAAAACAAATTGCTACATATAAAATCTTTTGAGGATCAAAATTTTGTTTCACAAAAAATATTTTCCACAAATTTACACACAAGAATTACAATAAGAATTGTGATTTGCATAGCAGAGTTACGCTTTCTAAAATATATACATGACAATATTTGAAACTGGAAATATAAAACCCTTGAGCTAAAACTCAAAAAGCAGCATAAAATGAATATTTCTGATGCTCACAAAGTAAAATGCAAAGCAAAGTGAGGATCAGCTTTTATATTTCCAGATATGTATAGCATTCTGTGACCTTCACATTTACCCTGACGCTAGACAGCAAACAAGATCTTATAAAACTTGTGTGGTACTGCACTCATAATTCAAAAGTATGCGTCAACAATATACCATTAATAAAATACGACATTGATTTTGAGAAAATGCTATTTAAGCTAACTATATTAAAATGTGGTGAAAGCATAACATGTATATACAATACAATGTAAAATGCTGTGGTAAATATGCAGTACCCTGATAGTTTTATGTCTTACATAAACTTTTTCACAATACAAAAAGCCGTGAAAATAGACATGTATGCAGTTAAAAGACAAAAAACATTATTATTATTACTGGCACTACTGATCTTTAGCGAAGACACTTTGGATTAAGGCAGTGAAGAGAGAAATTTTTAAGTAAAAGCTTCATCGTAGCAGCTCTTTCAATGAAGTGTAACCAGCACCAACCCGATCTTAGGCTCAGTATAACTGTGAGAAAAACAGAAAGAAACGATAGAAAGAAATTACAAATCATGATCAACCAAAGGTTTTGACATAAATGGTTCTACATGACAACTTCAAAATATGTCAATAATTAACAAAAACAAAAAAAACTTTATCGTTTTATGGGTGAGGAATGACTTGAGGGTGATTAAAGAGCCCCTATTATGCATTATAAAAGATGATATTTTGGTTTTGGGGTCTCCAACAAAAGGTTAATATGCATGCAAGGTCAAAAAACACATTAATTGTTTTATAATATGCATTTATTTTGACCTAATTATCCCAATGACTCTGATATGATTTGTTCATCGATGAATTTTTTTCCAAAACCTGTAAGAGGCTAAAATATCATATGCATTTGTTTATATGACAAAACATGTCTTTTTGACTTTCTTTTTGGTTTTATGGTGTGGTCACATGTTGATTGGTCAGTTTGAATGTCTTAAATGGTTTTAGTCACATGGTCAAGAAAGATACAAAATAGGTGGTAAACTCGAGCTCTGTCTCTTTTCCTGGCCTGTCTTTTCCTGCTTTGCTCCTCTCCTCCTCTGCAGTCCATCTTCTCTGACTCTACTGCAATCAGGCTAACTTCTGGGCCTGCTCTCTTTGTCTCTCTCTCCCTCCCCCTGTGTCTCTCCATCTACCTCTGGTAACTTAATTTTACATTTAAGCTGGGTGCAATTTATATCATATGTTATTATATCATATGTTTTATCATATATGTTTTATCAAAATTTCCTATTTTATCATTTTATACAGTTGTTTGTAATTAATTCAGTTGTAACCATAGATAATTATTGTCATTAAATCATCTCATTTTCAAGTATTTGTGAATTACTTTTGATTTAACATTAATATTTAATTGCTCCATATTGCAATACAATACAATCACATAATATCAATGCTCTCCCACATTTATAGCTATTAATACTGCCCTTATTTCCGTTTTTTGGTATGAGATTGCAGAAGAATGGTTTGACTAGAAATGTACAGTTTTTTACCATCATGCTGATAATTTTTTAGTCACTCGGCAGAACTACAGTTTGAACCGCTGTGGTTAAAACCATTCTTACAGATGGTGCCGAAACCGGGGATTCCTTGCAGTGAGTTTTTCTGAAATTTACTTTAGCCGGTCTTAGCTGGATTTTAACAGCTGACCTGGTAAATGGATTAAAACTGGCCTTCTAACCACAAAAGTGGGTAAGTCTGCTTTTATGGTTCCTCCATTTGCTTAAATTGCATGAAACAGAATTTACAAGACTGTAATTTGTTTCAATAGTTCAATTTGGTAAATTTCAGATTACCTCCTCAAGGATGGAAGGGTTCATTTCTAAAGAAAGTGATGTATTGTTTGCTTTATGGACTACAAAAGTTGAACCTACATTGTGCAAACTTAACAAAGAGGTACTTGAATTAACAGACTCAGTCTCTACATTATTTGCATGGTGGGATGTAATTGGCAAAAATGGAAAGAAATCAAAGCGTGGTGATATAATTGAAGCACTAAATTACATGTGTTACTCAAAACTGCGTAACGTGATGTCAGAAATACCTTCAATTATAAAGGCTAGATTTGAAAAATTTGATGATGTGCAAAAATCAGAGGCAGAAAAGTCAGAGGCAAAAATTCTAGATCTCAAGTTACAGCTTGAAAATTTACTAGCTGAAAAGTTAGCTCTGGCTGAAAAATGCAAAAGTCAAAAAGACACCATTGCAGGGGCACTTTTGATCATTTTTGGAGGGCACTTTCTATCCAAGACTAAAAAGGGCATGTGCACTGCAAAGGTTGAGCCCTATGTGTGCACGTGCCAGGCAACAGCAAACGCAAAAGGATTGCAAGCTCAAAAACAGATTTAGCCGCATCTTGAGTCATCTCAATCATCACAAGTTTTCCCAGGTCTGGCTACTCATGTGTGGCAATGTTTTGTATCGACATCAACACGAAACGGCTTAAGATTTGAAACCAAGACGATTCATATAAAAGACTTATAAAAGAGTTTTTTTTTTTGAGAATAAATAGTTTTAGACATGGTGCACTTCCATATTTAAACCTCAGCTAGATGTTTTCAGCCTTAGAGCTTTGCTACACACTGCAAGGAAGATTTCCAAAAACCCATAATAGCGGCTCTTTAAATGTTGGAAATTTCATTTTGGGGTAAACAAACCCTTTAACTCCTGTGCATACTTCTTTCCATTCTTAAAATAATCAAGAATTTTAAAAGTAATGTGTGTTAGGTGTTATCAAGTTTGGAAAGTTGATCATTTTATGAAGACTAATAATTGAAAGATTTGACTGGATGTAGTAAGTATACCTGTAGTGTTGGTTTTTGAGGTAGTCTAGTACAGCAGGCCTGATGCGAGCGACTCCACCTTGGCTGCGATTGCCTCTACCAGTGATGACTGACAGCTGAGGTGGACAAACACCCTGATGAAATTCTACAAAAGAAACACACCCAAGGTAATTCCAGACTATGTTGTAAAAGTTACACAAATTATCTGCTGTATACACAAAAAACAACATATGTTTTATTCTGCATGTAAGTAAGTCAGTGGTCCACGCACCTAAACATTTGTCAAGGAGCACCTGACTAAGATGATGAATGGCCTCGTCCACATGCAGTCCATGGAGATCTAGAATATTCTGAGGCAAAAGTGAAGCATTCACTTGTTGGAATATCTGCATTGCTGCTCGATGGTTTGCTTCACGCATCTTCTCTCCGTGCATGTGACCCTAAAAACATACAGTATACAAAATTATACAATGAAACCTTTTTCTTTTAAAGTAAAGTGCATTCATGGTTCAAAAAGCCTCTGTGAGATTGAATTGAACTTGCATATTGTATATAACTGATATGATATATGACTTTTTTTTTTTAATTCTATATCTCTATTGGAAAAATTATTTCCCAACTAAGGCTGCTGATTAAGCATTATTGCAGCGTGCTGCAATTCAGAGACTACATTTTTCGAAGGTTGCATTTTAAGACCCGGAACCTTAAATGCAAGCATTGGGGTTAAAATTGCTTGAATGTCTAATACAGATTTAGGTGGTTCAAATTTTGGCATATCTTAACAAAATGCAATTTTAGAGGTACTTTATACTCATGTACATCCATCTGGTAACCATCAAGTGCAATAGCTTGTTTGAAATCATGTGATGGATGGAAGGAAGTAAAAAAACAAACAAAAGACAGAGGAAAATCCATATTGTTGTGACTTATAAAAAATAGAGATATAAGAAAATCACTACATATCCTTACATTATGAAGAGGATTGAGTTTTCAACAAAATCTAAATATTAGTTCATGCCATCTTTCTTCCATTTTTAGTCAGTTTCTTATTGCTAGTGCCGCTCATAAACAGCAGCTGTCTCAGTTGCTAGGCGACAATAGGAATCCTCCAGTGGTTCTATTGTCCCATTTATTATTATTCAGTACAGCCTTTACGCACTTTAACTGATGCAGCCTCTTATTTGGTATAGAACTTTTTTTTCTGTTAAGTTGTACCCACCCACCCTAAAAATCTAAATTCTTTGTATTTGTGTCCATGTCCCGTGTTTACATTGGACAGGCAACTTTGTGTTTAAAAGACATCTAACAGACATCTAAACGTCTGTGAAAGACATCTGTTTTAGCTAAAACAAGGCTAAATTTAGGCTGTCAGTGAAAATTTCATAGATTTCTAACAACAATTCAAAACTAGACTAGTCTAGAATGGTGATTTCTATCTGATGAGTAGTCTATTTTTGGATGATTGTTAAGACGTTTA